ACCAAACAACCAACCAAACAACCAACCAAACAACCAACCAAACAACCAACCAAACAACCAACCAAACAACTAACCAAACAACCAACCAACCAACCAAACAACCAACCAACCAACCAAGCACTCAACCAACCAACCAACCAACCAACTAATCACCCACCAAACCAAACAACCAACCAACCAACCAACCGACCAACCGACCAACCGACCAACCGACCAACCGACCAACCGACCAACCGACCAACCGACCAACCGACCAACCAACCAAACAACCAACTATCGAGCCTATTGGCCGTGAGAGGCTGTGAAGTGGCTCAATTGTCCTCCCCGTTTAGCACCGGCCATTTGGGCCAATACGAGGCAGATGAGACTCACCCGCTGTCCCGGCTCGCCGGCCGGTACAATTTGTGAAGTGGTGTCCAGGTTGCATTTGATCCCGTCACGACCACGTTCGCCTTTGAAGCCTTTCTCGCCTTTCGGGCCCTCGATGAAGTACTGCTTGGCGTCAGGACCAGCCTGGCCGATGTGCCCATTTCGGCCCTTGAAGCCCTGTCAGTCGTCAAGGCGATGATGAGGAGGTGGGCGCCGTGTCGAGTGTAGCGTTTGGGTGGTTTCCGGGCCGACGGCGTAGTCGAAGAGAAGGAATGCGGTGCATGGCAAGGGAATAGGTAAAAAAAATGTCATTCACTGGAAATAATTGAATCAGTATATATTCAAAAGGATGTAATATTTTGCGATTTAAACCGAATCCAAACAGACAAGTTGCCATGACGAGATGCGCTACACATAATCGACTTGTCTGTCTCGTCTTCTGACTACTCATGGCGTGGTGAGTAGGTCGGTAAAATGTAAAGAGGTAATTACAAATACCAGTTATGCTGTCCAGTTAGCGGTTTTGTTTGTCATGTAGAAGCTTATTTGCATAGAATGGCTAGAGAAAAAGGGAGAGGAGGAAATCAGAAGTACCGCCGAGCACGAATCTGGTTTTGATTCTCTCACGTCACACTCTGTTCAGCAGCAATGCATTCATACAACTCATGTGCAATTGAATAGAATTGCATGCAGTAGCAAGGCAGGATGAACGGTACAGGTGTTTTAGAGGAGGATACAGCAGTTCGGTTACAAT